AAGAGTCCTCTCCTGCTGATGTTCAGGTGTATATCAGTATGAGTAGTGTTCTACTTTAAAGAGTCCTCTCTGCTGATGTTCAGGTGTATATCAGTATGTTAGTGTCTCTACTTTAAAGAGTCCTCTCCTGCTGATGTTTCAGGTGTATATCAGTATGTAGTGTCTCTACTTTAAAGAGTCCTCTCCTGATGTCAGGTGTATATCAGTATTTAGTGTCTCTCTTAAAGAGTCCTCTCCTGTGATGGTCAGATGTATATCAGTATTAGTGTCTCTACTTTAAAGAGTCCTCTCCTGCTGATGTTCAGGTGTATATCAGTATGTAGTGTCTCTACTTTAAAGAGTCCTCTCCTGCTGATGTTCAGGTGTATATCGTATTTAGTGTCTCTACTTTAAAGAGTCCTCTCCTGCTGATGGTCAGATGTATATCAGTATGTAGTGTCTCTACTTTAAAGAGTCCTCTCCTGCTGATGTTCAGGTGTATATCAGTATGTAGTGTCTCTACTTTAAAGAGTCCTCTCCTGCTGATGTTCAGGTGTATATCAGTATGTAGTGTCTCTACTTTAAAGAGTTCCTCTCCTGCTGATGTCAGGTGTATATCAGTATGTAGTGTATCTACTTTAAAGAGTCCTCTCCTGCTGATGGTCAGATGTATATCAGTATCAGTATGTAGTTCTCTACTTTAAAGAGTCCTCTCCTGCTGATGTTCAGGTGTATATCAGTATTTAGTGTCTCTACTTTAAGAGTCCTCTCCTGCTGATGGTCAGAGTTATATCAGTATGTAGTGTCTCTACTTTAAAGAGTCCTCTCCTGCTGATGTTCAGGTGTATATCAGTATGTAGTGTCTCTACTTTAAAGAGTCCTCTCCTGCTGATGCTTCAGGGTATATCAGTAGTAGTGTCTCTACTTTAAAGAGTCCTCTCCTGCTGATGTTCAGCTGTATAATCAGTATGTAGTGTCTCTACTTTAAAGAGTCCTCTCCTGCTGATGTTCAGGTGTATATCAGTATGTAGTTCTCTACTTTAAAGAGTCCTCTCCTGCTGATGTCAGATGTATATCAGTAGTAGTGTCTCACTTTAAAGAGTCCTCTCCTGCTGATGTTCAGGTGTATATCAGTATGTAGTGTCTCTACTTTAAAGAGTCCTCTCCTGCTGATGATCAGGTGTATATCAGTATATAGTGTCTCTACTTTAAAGAGTCCTCTCCTGCTGATGTTCAGCTGTATATCAGTATGTAGTGTCTCTACTTTAAAGAGTCCTCTCCTTCTGATGTCAGGTGTTATCAGTATGTAGTGTCTCTACTTTAAAGAGTCCTCTCCTGCTGATGTTCAGGTGTATTCAGTATGTAGTGTCTCTACTTTAAAGAGTCCTCTCCTGTTGTTCAGGTGTATATCAGTATATAGTGTCTCTACTTTAAAGAGTCCTCTCCTGCTGATGTTCAGGTTATATCAGTATGTAGTGTCTCTACTTTAAAGAGTCCTCTCCTGCTGATGTTCAGGTGTATATCAGTATGTAGTGTCTCTACTTGAAAGAGTGCTCTTTTGCTGATGTGCAGGTGTATATCAGTATGTAGTGTCTCTACTTTAAAGAGTCCTCTCCTGCTGATGTTCAGGTGTATATCAGTATGTAGTGTCTCTACTTTAAAGAGTCCTCTCCTGCTGATGTTCAGGTGTATATCAGTATGTAGTGTCTCTACTTTAAAGAGTCTCTCCTGCTGATGTTCAGGTGTATATCAGTATGTAGTGTCTCTACTTTTAAAGAGTCCTCTCCTGCTGATGTTCAGGTGTATATCAGTATGTAGTGTCTCTACTTTAAAGAGTCCTCTCCTGCTGATGTTCAGTGTGTATATCAGTATGTAGTGTCTCTACTTTAAAAGAGTCCTTCCTGCTGATGTTCAGGTGTATATCAGTATGTAGTGTCTCTACTTTAAAGAGTCCTTGCAGTGCACTAACACCAACAGAAACGCACTACGGGAGAGGAACAGGGACTCTTTAAAGACGTGATGTAATTAATATCTACTCACCTCAGTTTCCCCACATGACGGCAGGTGTCTCAGAGAGGCGTTCAGGTGCAGCCAGACTTTCCTGCTCCACCTGAAGTTGCTCCTTAATTCGTCTAAAGAGTTCCCCCTGTTAAACACCTGATCTGTGACCTCACACACACACACACACACACACACACACACACACACACACACACACACACACACACACACAACACACACACACACACACACACAGAGGTGTGGTCACCTGGGTGTGCTCTGCTTCAGTAACCACAAACAGAGGAACAATGGAGCCCCCCCCCTCAGGTGTGTCAGAGCCGTCAGGCAGGTTCTATCAGAACCTGATAAACACCTCCTGTGGAGTTACTGCCAAGAGGCGTTAAGGCCACAGCATGGAGTGTGTGTGTGTGTGTGTGTGTGTGTGTGTGTGTGTGTGTGTGTGTGTGTGTGTGTGTGTGTGTGTGTGTGTGTGTGTGTGTGTGTGTGTGTGTGTGTGTGTGTGTGTGTGTGTGTTGTGTGTGTGATTGATTGTATTTTGTCCCTGCAGGGCTCCTGTAGCGGCCCTCGGCCCCCACAGCATGCAGGACATGGAGCTGAGGGAGGAGTGGCAGGACGACGGCTTCCCCAGGTCACACACACACACACACACACACACACACACACACACACACCCACACACACACACACACACACACACACACACACACACACAACCACACACACACACACCACACACACACACACACACACACACCGAGTTTCTGTTTGTTCTGTATATCAGAAGGTCAAAGTGATGTCCCTCCTGAATAAACAGGTGTTTCAGTGAAACCTTATTCACTCTTTCTCTTGATGTGTTCATCAGGCCTCTCCCCGAGGACTGTGGGAGTCCAGAGGAGCAGCGACCAGGTGACTCTCAGTAAACATGAATATGGGGAGGTAGTGGAGTACAAATACTTTAAGTACATGTTTCTGGTATCAGTACTTTACTCCACTACTTATTTTTCTGACCACTTTTTACTTTCTACTTCTTACATGTTGAACCCAAATACCTGTACTTTCTACTTCTTACATGTTGAACACAAATACCTGTACTTTCTACTTCTTACACTTTGAACCCAAATACCTGTACTTTCTACTTCTTACATGTTGAACACAAATACCTGTACTTTCTACTTCTTACATGTTGAAACCCAAATACCTGTACTTTCTACTTCTTACATGTTGAACCAAAATACCTGTACTTTCTACTTCTTACTGTTAACACAAATACCTGTACTTTCCTACTTCTTACTGTTGAACACAAATACCTGTATCTCTTCTAACTTCTTACATGTTGAACACAAATACCTGTACTTTCTACTTCTTAACATGTGAACCAAATACCTGTACTTTCTAACATGATACTTTCTTTCTACGTCTTACATGTTGAACCCAAATACCTTACTTTCTACTTCTTACAATGTTGAACCAAATACCTGTACTTTCTACTTCTACATGTTTGAACCCCAAATACATGTACTTTCTACTTCTTACATGTTGAACACAAATACCTGTACTTTCTACTTCTTACACTTGATTGGAACCTCAATACCTGTACTTTCTACTTTCTTACATGTGAACACAAATACCTGTACTTTCTCTACTTCTTACATGTTGAACCACAAATACCTGTACTTTCTACTTCTTACATGTTGAAACACAAATACCTGTACTTTTACTCTTACCTGTTGAACCCCAATAACCTGTACTTTCTCCTTCTACATGTTGAACCCAAATACCTGACTCTTCGACTTCTTACATGTTGAACACAAATACTGTACTTTCTACTTCTTACATGGTTGAACACTAAATACCCTGTACTTTCCTACTTCTTACATGTTGAACACCAATACCTGTACTTTCTAACTTCTTACATGTGAACTCACAAATACCTGTACTTTTCTACTTTCTTACATGTTGAACCAATACCTGTACTGTTCTACTTCTTACATGTTGAACCCAAATACCTGTACTTTCTACTTCTCACATGTTGAACACAAATACCTGTACTTTCTTACTCTCTTACATGTTGAACACAAATCCTGTACTTTCTACTTCTTACATGTTGAACACAAATAACTGTACTTTCTACTTCTTACATGTTGATACTACAAATACCTGTACTTTCTACTTCTACATGTTGAACCAAATACCTGTACTTTCTACTTCTTACATGTTGAACCCAAATACCTGTACTTTCTACTTCTTACATGTTGAACCAAATACCTGTACTTTCTACTTCTTACATGTTGAACAAATACCTGTACTTTCTACTTCTTACATTTGAACACAAATACCTGTACTTTCTACTTCTTACATGTTGAACCAAATACCTGTACTTTCTACTTCTTACATGTTTGAACCCAAATACCTGTACTTTCTACTTCTACATGTTGAACACAAATACCTGTACTTTCTACTTCTTACATGTTGAACCACAAATACCTGTACTTTCTACTTCTTACATGTTGAACAAATACCTGTACTTTCTACTTCTTACATGTTGAACCAAATACCTGTACTTTCTACTTCTTACATGTTGAACCCAAATACCTGTACTTTCTACTTCTTACATGTTGAACCCAAATACCTGTACTTTCTACTTCTCACATGTTGAACTCAAATACCTGTACTCTCTACTTCTCTCATTTCCCAAACAGGCTGGTTCCTTTAGTTTGAATGTGTGTTTGGTGGCGTGATCATTATTCTTTAGAGTCATTGCGTGCCTATTGATTTGAACACGATCCGTGTATCCATCATTTCCTGGTCTTCTCTAAAGAAGAGGGACCAATGAAAACGTTGTCATGTTGCCGTTGTTCAGCATGGAAACATTCATTAGCTAACAATGACATTATTGTTCTATTAATATAAAGGGAGGTCAGGTACTCTTTAAAACAGCTGCTAGTTATGGGTACTTTTTACTGAAGGACATTTCAAAGCCTCTTTACTTTGACTTGAGTAAAGAAGTTTAGTCAGTACTTCTACTTTTACCAGAGTATCTTTAAACACGAGTCTCTGTACTTCTACTTGAGTAAAGGTTGTGTGTACATCTACTTGAGTACAGGATGTGTGTACTTCTACTTGAGTAAAGGATGTGTGTACTTCTACTTGAGTAAAGGATGTGTGTACTTCTACTTGTACTTCTACTTGAGTAAAGGATGTGTGTACTTTTGCCATCTCTGGTTCCCTAGCTCCGCCCACCAGCCTCGCCTTATCAGGAGCCGGGGGGGGCGGGGCTAAGAAGCGTCTGGTGGCGCCCACGATCAGCGATGGATTCTCTGCGGCCGCGCTGTCCAACGACACGCCGTCACTCGACATCGACCTGGAGGCGCTGGAGACGCCGTCCGGCAGCGAGACGGGGACGCTGCCGGACGGAGTCTACGAGCTGGAGTGGGACGGTGAGACGCTGTTGCATTTCTATAATCTGAGGCAGGAGGAGCTGAAAAGAAGCTTCTCATCAAGTTAACAGCATTTATTAATACAATGATACGAGGTCTGCAAAAGTAGTCTGCCCAGGTCTCCTGCTATTTCACTGGTCCACAGTCCACCTGGTCTCTGTCTCTCAGATCACAGGAAGAGTCTCTGTCTCTCAGATCACAAGAAGAGTCTCTGTCTCTCAGATCACAGGAAGAGTCTCTGTCTCTCAGATCACAGGAAGAGTCTCTGTCTCTCAGATCACAGGAAGAGTCTCTGTCTCTCAGATCACAGGAAGAGTCTCTGTCTCTCAGATCACAGGAAGAGTCTCTGTCTCTCAGATCACAGGAAGAGTCTCTGTCTCTCAGATCACAGGAAGAGCCTCGATCTCTGTCTCTCATCACATTTCATTATCTCTGTAGAAGTCTAAAGTCTTCTCCCATTGGTTGGCGGGGAGGGGCCAGGTTCTATTGGCCACGCCTCTTAGCGCTTGCTGCTCCATTCAGATCTTCTGTCGCCCTCTAGTGGCGTAACCAAATAACATTCTTTCATAACATTAAATGGCCAGACAAATGACCCAATAAAACACATAGTAACAGTTGATATATTGATTATTCTCACACCTCTGACCCCTGACCTCTGACCTCTGACCCCCGACTCACATCATTACCTGGTGTTGTTCAGTAGAATTACAGCCTTGATTCTGCCCAGTTTATGAGAGGAAGTTCAGCCAACAGCTGACAGTGGGTCTGTGTTTCCTGTAAAGAGTCAAACATATTCAGTTCTTTGATTTAAAGTCAAACTTCATGAATCCTGTGGACTACGACTCCCAGCATGCATTTCACTCATCGACCTCTATCCCCTGACTCGTTGTTCAGTACAATTACAGTCTCAATTCTGCACAGTTTATGACAGGGGTGTCCAAACTACGGCCCGGGGGCCAAATGCGACCCGCGGCCCATTTTGAATCGCTCAGCTAATTCCAAAAGTAAAATGAAATATGACCCACAGTATGAAACGTGATATATTGTACTTCTTAAATATATTTGTACAAATATATTACACAGTGTTCATGCGTGGGTCTGTGTTTTCTGTAAAACATATTCAGTTCTTTGTTTAAAGGTCTCCTATCATGCAGAATGCACTTTCTGATGTCTTCTCTACATCACCATGTGTCCCCGTTGTGTCAGGAGACTCACAAAGTGATGTCTTCTCTACATCACCATGTGTCCCCGGTGTGTCAGGAGACTCACAAAGTGATGTCTTCTCTACATCACCATGTGTCCCCGGTGTGTCAGGAGACTCACTAAGTGATGTCTTCTCTACATCACCATGTGTCCCCGTTGTGTCAGGAGACTCACAAAGTGATGTCTTCTCTACATCACCATGTGTCCCCGTTGTGTCAGGAGACTCACAAAGTGATGTCTTCTCTACATCACCATGTGTCCCCGGTGTGTCAGGAGACTCACAAAGTGATGTCTTCTCTACATCACCATGTGTCCCCGGTGTGTCAGGAGACTCACTAAGTGATGTCTTCTCTACATCACCATGTGTCCCCGGTGTGTCAGGAGACTCTCATAGTGATGTCTTCTCTACATCACCATGTGTCCCCTGTGTGTCAGGAGACTCTCATAGTGATGTCTTCTCTACATCACCATGTGTCCCCGGTGTGTCAGGAGACTCTCATAGTGATGTCTTCTCTACATCACCACGTGTCCCCGGTGTGTCAGGAGACTCACTAAGTGATGTCTTCTCTACATCACCATGTGTCCCCGGTGTGTCAGGAGACTCACTAAGTGATGTCTTCTCTACATCACCATGTGTCCCCGGTGTGTCAGGAGACTCTCATAGTGATGTCTTCTCTACATCACCACGTGTCCCCGGTGTGTCAGGAGACTCACTAAGTGATGTCTTCTCTACATCACCATGTGTCCCCGGTGTGTCAGGAGACTCACTAAGTGATGTCTTCTCTACATCACCATGTGTCCCCGGTGTGTCAGGAGACTCTCTAAGTGATGTCTTCTCTACATCACCATGTGTCCCCGGTGTGTCAGGAGACTCACTAAGTGATGTCTTCTCTACATCACCATGTGTCCCCGGTGTGTCAGGAGACTCACTAAGTGATGTCTTCTCTACATCACCATGTGTCCCCGGTGTGTCAGGAGACTCTCTAAGTGATGTCTTCTCTACATCACCATGTGTCCCCGGTGTGTCAGGAGACTCTCTAAGTCAGGGGTGTCAAACTCAATTTCATCGCGGGCCACATCAGCATTATGGTTGCCCTCAAAGGGCCGGTTGTAATTTTAACACTATATAAATATACATATATAAATATCAAAATAATGTTTTATACTGTATAACAATATTGCCTCTGCATTGGAGTATTATTGGTTTTGGCAATAACTACGTCTGAAAGCACATGGTTGTGCATTAATGTATTGTGCACGTAGACACAAAAATACTGTATGTGGGCTCAGACTAACATTTCACTCTCTTACTGTTACATAAATCCCATGAATTTATGAAATGTAGTTAGCCTCATCATATCTTATCAAAAGAGATACAATGTTTGTGAAATCTATTTTTTGTGAATAATAAAGTATTTTTCTTTTGTATATCAAGCATTATTTAAGTAGGCTATATTTCATTTGAATTCAGCAATAATATTTTAATAGTCTGAAAGCCAAGACTTTGAGAACCCCCTGTCCCAGATCCTGCTGTGTTACTATCACCTGTCACTCACTATTTCAGTAAGCAGTGAGTGGGGGGAGGGGGCGGCGGCGTGTTGAGGAGGAACAGAGTGAGAGGGGACAGGGATCGCGGAAGTTTTCCTCCTTCCTTTACAAACTTTACACAAGTATTTATAAGTATTTATCGTCTGAATATAGCAAAAAGACGTTCATACTCTGCAAGCCAAGACCTCATATATTTTAATCAACCAGAAACCGGAAATAACCGTAACGCGAGTTTTTCTAAAACATAATAAATCCACGTGTGTCTCTGAGCCGCAGCAACACCGACTGATTCTTAAAGAGCGGGTCATTCTGTCTGTTTGTTCTGCGACTGGAGTTGCTTGTCTCGGTTGCTGAAGCAGACTTTGCTCCGTGTTTGGTGTCTCTGTGCCGCTGTAAATTATGTTCCTTCAACTCTGTGTCACTCACAGTCACACACTGGTCACTCACCGCCTCAGAGTGCCGCTGCTGATAGGAAGTCGCTTCAGTGCGCACGTCACAAAACGAAATGCATTTTGGGACATGCTGTTTATGGGCAACGTGCTTAAACGGCATGTAACCGTATAATAAACTGTTTATATTCTTTGCGAGCTCTCGCGGGCCACATAAAATGACGTGGCGGGCCACATTTGGCCCGCGGGCCTTGAGTTTGACACGTCTGCTCTAAGTGATGTCTTCTCTACATCACCATGTGTCCCCGGTGTGTCAGGAGACTCACTAAGTGATGTCTTCTCTACATCACCATGTGTCCCCGTGTGTCAGGAGACTCTCAAAGTGATGTCTTCTCTACATCACCATGTGTCCCCGGTGTGTCAGGAGACTCTCATAGTGATGTCTTCTCTACATCACCATGTGTCCCCGGTGTGTCAGGAGACTCACTAAGTGATGTCTTCTCTACATCACTATGTGTCCCCGTGTGTCAGGAGACTCACAAAGTGATGTCTTCTCTACATCACCATGTGTCCCCGGTGTGTCAGGAGACTCACAAAGTGATGTCTTCTCTACATCACCATGTGTCCCCGGTGTGTCAGGAGACTCACAAAGTGATGTCTTCTCTACATCACCATGTGTCCCCGGTGTGTCAGGAGACTCTCATAGTGATGTCTTCTCTACATCACCATGTGTCCCCGGTGTGTCAGGAGACTCACTAAGTGATGTCTTCTCTACATCACCATGTGTCCCCGGTGCGTCAGGAGACTCACTAAGTGATGTCTTCTCTACATCACCATGTGTCCCCGGTGTGTCAGGAGACTCACAAAGTGATGTCTTCTCTACATCACCATGTGTCCCCGGTGTGTCAGGAGACTCACTAAGTGATGTCTTCTCTACATCACCATGTGTCCCCGGTGTGTCAGGAGACTCACTAAGTGATGTCTTCTCTACATCACCATGTGTCCCCGGTGTGTCAGGAGACTCACTAAGTGATGTCTTCTCTACATCACCATGTGTCCCCGGTGTGTCAGGAGACTCACTAAGTGATGTCTTCTCTACATCACCATGTGTCCCCGGTGTGTCAGGAGACTCACTAAGTGATGTCTTCTCTACATCACCATGTGTCCCCGGTGTGTCAGGAGACTCACTAAGTGATGTCTTCTCTACATCACTATGTGTCCCCGGTGTGTCAGGAATTAAAACCCTCTCTCTTTTCCTACTAAACAGATGACCTCCCCCGGATGGCGAGGGCGGAGCCTGGTGCCGTGGGGGGGGCCCAGAGCCCGGTGGAGCAGGACCAGGTTCTGATGGAGCAGGACCAGGTGGATCAGAGGGGCCGGCGCTGGAGGACCTTCAACGTCTCCGGACACCAGTTCCAGGTCAACATGAGCGTCCTGGAGCCCTACCTGCAGGTGCTGTCCCACGGAGGTCAGAGGTCACACACTGTGTTAACATTCATATCTGTGGACATTTAGACATCAGCTACGACCCTGAGACACTCAATTCAACACACCTGTTACCCCTGAAACACACCTGAGACATCTGAAACACATGAGACACACCTGAGACATCTGAAACACCTGAGACACACCTGAGACACACCTGAGACATCTGAAACACCTGAGACACACCTGAGACATCTGAAACACCTGAGACACACCTGAGACATCTGAAACACCTGAGACACCTGAGACACACCTGAGACACACCTGAGACACACCTGAGACACACCTGAGACACACCTGAGACACACCTGAGACACACCTGACACACCTGAGACACCTGAGACACACCTGACACACCTGAGACACCTGAGACACCTGAGACACACCTGAGACACCTGAGACACACCTGACACACCTGAGACACCTGAGACACACCTGACACACCTGAGACACCTGAGACACACCTGAGACACACCTGAGACACACCTGAGACACACCTGACACACCTGAGACACCTGAGACACCTGAGACACACCTGAGACATCTGAAACACCTGAGACACACCTGAGACATCTGAAACACCTGAGACACACCTGAGACACACCTGAGACATCTGAAACACCTGAGACACCTGAGACACACCTGACACACCTGAGACACCTGAGACACCTGAGACACACCTGACACACCTGAGACACCTGAGACACACCTGAGACACACCTGACACACCTGAGACACCTGAGACACACCTGAGACACACCTGAGACACACCTGAGACATCTGAGACACCTGAGACACACCAGAGACACACCTGAGACACACCTGAGACACCTGAGACACCTGTGTTACAACCCGGCTCCTGGGCTGCAGCAAAAAGTAGGGAGGCGAGACGAGGGTTGTGAATAATGAAGACGTTTATTTTCATAAACAAAATGGTCACGCAACAGACCCCCGCGGCCGTCCCGGAGAGAGAGCCCGGAGAGAGAGCCCGGAGAGAGAGCCCGGAGAGAGAGCCCGGAGAGAGAGCCCGGAGAGGAGCTCTTCTCCTACACTTCGGCGTGGACAGGAGACAACTCTGGTCAGTCCCCTGACCCCCAGGACCTGACCCCCAGGACCTGACCCCCAGGACCTGACCCCCAGGACCTGACCCCCAGGACCTGACCCCAGGACCTGACCCCCAGGACCTGACCCCCAGGACCAAACGAGCGCTGCTCAGTTTTTCGCTCATACAGATTTCCCATCCTTACCTGTGCAGACGACAACTTCTCTCTTGACCGAATTGGTTTACCTCTCATTTGACACGTGTGACATGATTTAATATGCCGAGACACATCTCTCCTTAAACAAGGCCAAAAGAAATACCGTAACATGTAATTATTAGGGCTGTCAAGTTAACGCGTTAATAACGCGTTAACGCAAAAAAAAATTAACGCCACTAATTATTTTAACGCGATTAACGCATGTGTATTTTTTTGTCCTCGGCCGCCCCGTAGTTTCAGAGTGCATCGAGTTTAAAATACCATCTCCAAGCTGATGCTGACAGCCCCGCTCCTGCCGCCCGCTTGTGGCAGACCATACTTCCACGCTCACCGGCAGGCCCGGACTGGCCATCGGGAGGACCGGGAGGGTGTGTGTATGTGTGGCGCGACTCGCGAGTGAGGCACACCTTACGTGTTGTTGTTGTTAGCATCTGGTGCTAGCTAGCTGCGCTAACGGATATAAGGAGCTGTTTCAATGAAAACAGAGGAGCGACATTTCGCCGACAACTGCGCCGAGCACTTGACTTGATGCAGGTAGCCAGACAGTGGGACATTGTACGAGAAGTCAGCACACTCAGCACGGATAGTGCAACATGATTGCAGCGTCCAGGCAGCTCCCGTTGGAGCATATATGCCTTGAGCTGCACATACACACACACACACACACACACATACACACACACACACACACACACACACACACACACACACACACACACACACACACACACACACACACACACACACACACACACACACACACACACACACACACACACACACACACACACAGTATTGTATGAGAGAGGTTCCAGGTTGAATCGAATATTTGTAATGTTCAGGTTGTTGTGTTTAATATTCATGAGAATATTTGTCATTGTTCAAATGATAATAAACAAACATATAAAGCATAGTTGTCCACTCATATGTTGATAAGAGTATTAAAAACTTGAAAAATATCCCTCTAAGGTCCATTTAGAACAGATAAAAAATGTGCGATTAATTTGCGATTAATCGCGATTAACTATTTTAATCGACTGACAGCCCTAGTAATTACATGTTCCACGGACACCCAGATGTCCCGATCGCTTATGCGCTTCCTTGAGGACCTCCTCACGAAATTTGACAGGAACCACAATCTGAAAGACTGGCTCACCAATGAAGCCTTTCCCATGTGACAACCACTTTCTGACCAGCAGCTCCCCTTGCAGCAGACAACCACCGGTAGCGCCATTTCCATCCTCGGTGGAAAGAACCGCCTCATCACCAATTCACTGCGGGATACAGACAACAACAAGTCAGGAACAACCACAGAATCCATCTCACCCACCTCTTCACCCTGCTCAGACTCCCCCTGTACACGGCTCACAGCCCGGCTCACAGCCCGGGTCACAGCCCGGCTCACAGCCCGGCTCACAGCCCGGGTCACAGCCCGGCTCACAGCCCGGCTCACAGGCCGGCTCACAGCCCGGCTCACAGCCCGGGTCACAGCCCGGGTCACAGCCCGGGTCACAGCCCGGGTCACAGCGCCAGCCACAAACACTCCAGGAGAGAACTTTGCATTCTCCTCTGTGTTAACAGTCACTGTGGGTGAAGATGACACCCTGGTAGGCGGTGGACCCTCAGCCCACACACGGCTGCCAGCCAGGCCGTTACCCAGGATAACATCCACACCTTCAATCGGCATTACAGGACGGACCCCCATGGCGACCTCACCCTGCACCAAACCAGAGATAAGCACAACACTCATTCCCATACCTCGCATCAGGACAAAGTCCCCAGTTCTAGATTCTTCAGAAAACGGTAGCACAGAGCTCAGAATGTATGAATCATACGGTGTCTCTCAAAATGTTTACCGGCACGCTGATGTCACTTCCCACCAATGACACGTATCCGGTTGACAAAAATGCAGAAAACAGTGGTTCCTTCAACCCGCATGGCTCGCTAACCTGCTGACAGGGAGAGATGACGGGTAAGGGTACCACAGACACAGCACAAGCAGCAGAGTTAACCTGGCCTACATGGTTCCCCCTGCTAGCCTTAGCTTCGGGACAGTCAGCCTTCCAGTGCCCTCTCCCCCTGCAGAAGTGACATATCTGAATCACCCTGTGGCTGACCTCGCATCCCACGCTCAGGTTGACCCCAGTGCGGATTAGCTTTCTCTTCCCATCTCCCTGCTGCACGACACATACCAGCTTCATCCTGGCCCCTGAAAACTCGACCGCCCCTGTGCGCTAGCACATAGTCATCAGCCAGTGCAGCAGCCTCTGCAGCAGTCTTCACTTTGCACTCGCTGATGTAAACCGCAATGTGGCTGGGTACAGAATTTTTAAATTGCTCCAACACCATCAACTCACATAATGCAGCATACGTATCGACATCCAGGGATTTACACCACTTACTGAAAAAGGTAACCAGATCCCTGGCAAACTCAACATGGTCAAATGTCAAAACAGATCAATTAACGTTTTGGTTTTGTTTGTATGATTTACGGATAATCCAGTGAATGCTGGGAAAACGAGGAGAAGCCGCATTATGAACACTGGCATTTGTTTTCAGAAGATATTATGATAGTGTCGTTCGTTCCGGTGCACTCCGACAGCATTAGCACTACATCGAGATTAAGATTAAACTAATTTATTTTGGGAACAGCCGCATATATGGAGTTAGCCATATGTGTGTAAATTACTGTTCATAAACATTTGAAAACAAATGCCGGTGTCGGACAGACACAAACACACCGAACACACAGAGCTGAGCTGAGCAGAGCACATACACACACACATCATGCGCCTTGGTGACTGACTGGACATCTCCTTCATAAAACTAATAAAAGGGGGAGTAATCGGGCAGTTCGATGTGTGTAGATGTGTGTGTGTATAGGTGTGTGTGGTTAACACGTAGCAGCCTGCAGTCACTCTTAAGCTGTTCTGATGAAGTTAAACACAGTCATACTGGTGCTGCACTTCTCAGAAGCGGAGTATACGTCCCGCTGCCTCCGGATGCTGCAGCCGTTTTAAGAAGTGAAGGAGGGTTTCCTTCTATAAAGCAGCTGCGGGCAGCAGATCGTGAGAGTCCCGGACATTAATTCATAGATCAAGGCAGACTGGTTTACTCTTCTGTTTTGCCAATCCGGTGCTTAAACAAATAGCTCTACACCCCTGGCCGACATGTCCTTAAAATGAAGTCCGAGTTTGAAATATATCTCAAATAATGTATGCACCACCATTTCCCCACATAAACATAACAGTCTGCAATCAAACGGTTGTCTCCTGTGCGCTCCTCTTCCTACTTGGCGCACCGGTAACAAGCTCGTGCGCACAAGAGGAGACCTTATAAGGCTGAGCCGCCGAATCCCTCATCATAAAAGCCATTTTCAACGGTTTTCTGGTGAAAGATTAACTAGCTACTGGATGAAATAATATGACTGGTGGCATAGGTGCGAAAATTAAACACTTTTTGAAAAAATATTATGATAAAATATTTTTATATATTTATAATTCTGCAAATATTACGATAAACTCACAGCTATTTCGCGGCCCGGCAGTAACACCTCTACGGCCCGGTACCGGTCCGCGGACCGGGGGTTGGGAACCCCTGTGCTAGACTTCTCCCAGGACCTGAACCTCTGGCGATATGCCTCAGGGACTAACTCGTAGGCCTCAGGGACTCGTAGGCCTTCAGCACAGCAGTCTTAACAGTCAGATAAACCGTGCTCTCTGCCACCGTCAGAGCAGAGTAGGCTTCCTGGGCTTTACCCGTTAGCACACACTGTAACAATAAGGTCCCCTCAGCATCAGACCACTCTCTGCTCTCAGCTACAGGGTTATCTGGGTCTCGTTCACTAAACTGAGGCACTACTATCTGGGTCTCGTTCACTAAACTGAGGCACTACTATCTGGGTCTCGTTCACTAAACTGAGGCACGACCCGCAAATGACTGCCAACGTCAAACGGAGTAGCTCTACCAGAGTGATTTGAGGCCTGGCCTGCAGCCCCAGCAGGTACATTCAACCTCTAACTCAAGCTTCCCAATTTCTACCTCCCCCCTTTGAATCTCCGCCAGGGGTTGCTATAGCAACTCCAACAATTGGCCTAGCAACGGCTTAGCAACCCCATTGTTTTGTTATGAAAATGTATCTATATATATTTATACACATTCTCGCGAGGTCTATCAGGGGTCGTTGTAAGTTAAAGCGCAAACTGTTACTTGGCTAATGTTGTGTGTGTGTGTGTGTGTGTGTGTGTGTGTGTGTGTGTGTGTGTGTGTGTGTGTGTGTGTGTGTGTGTGTGTGTGTGTGTGTGTGTGTGTGTGTGTGTGTGTGTGTGTGTGTGTGTGTGTGTGTGTGTGTGTGTGTGTGTGTGTGTGTGTGTGTGTGTGCCACAGCATGCCAGTTGAAACAGTGAACGATCACTATTGTGTACGCTTAGGGTGTAATGGTATTATACACACATATTGTAGGAGCACAGAAACAGTGTTCAAATTCTGCTTTTACAAACTTATTTTGGTTGTGCTTACCTTGCAAAGTCATGTTATAAGTGTCAAAGGAATGTTTTAATGTAAATATTAATGATAATATTGTAGCGTGTCCAAGTTAATAGTTATTTCAGTTATCAGATGTGCAGTTTAGTACATTTGTAAAGTTATTTAGGCAATGTTGTTGGTGGGAGTTAGGGAGAGACCGCCCCTTCCAGGTGTGTGTGTGCGTTTTCCGGTGTGTGTGTAGGGAGTAGAGACGGTAGGGGTTGTGTTGGAGTGTGGGGAAAAGTCATAATGAGTGTTATATTATTGATTGGCTCTGTAAGGCGTGGCTGTGGCCGTCAGTACCATAAAATAAAGAGAACGTTTTGGACATTGAAGGCTCATGATCTGTGATCTTGAATAGCGGTGAACGCGACAATATGAACAGGCTCGTGCTTGGCCCACTGGTATTGTTTGTTTATTTATTTTGAAAATGAACGAGCAACGCCGTGCTGTCATATAGCAACTGCTAAGCTCCGCCCATGATCTCCGCCCTCATTGTCTCCACTGCGAGTCTCTCCTTTTCTGTCTGCAACAGCAACACTTCCTTTCTCTGCTCCAACGTCAGGCCTGCATCACGGCAGCCAGACATATTGACACTGTCTCGGCTAGGACCAACAGTAAACATACCCCCTCTGAAAGCACCTTCCTCAAACAGATCTGCTCTAACAATCTCCCTCATGTTCTCCTTCATTCTCTTATCCCCAACATCCAAGTGAAAATGTTCAGCCACACAGATCAGCTGCTCACGTGAGAGAACCTCCAGCTGCTCCTCTGAAGGTGCCCTCAAAAAGTCCTCTACACTCCCCATGTTGACAACACTGTGTGGCACGTTCACGCTACTTACACCGCTACTTACACAGCCTACACGCTACTTACACAGCCTACACGCTACTTACACAGCCTACACGCTACTTACACAGCCTACACGCTACTTACACAGCCTACACGCTACCGCGGCCCGTCCCTCTAACTGCCTCACAGAAACTAGCTGAACTCCCCAACTAGTCTTCAGGTGCTAGTTACGGCGGGTACTTACGCACTTGAGACACCTGTAAAACACCTGTAACACCTGTAACACACCTGAGACATCTGAAACACCTGTAACACACCTGAGACATCTGAAACACCTGTAACACACCTGTAACACACCTGAGACATCTGAAACACCTGTAACACACCTGAGACATCTGAAACACCTGTAACACACCTGAGACATCTGAAACACCTGTAACACACCTGAGACATCTGAAACACCTGTAACACACCTGTAACACACCTGAGACATCTGAAACACCTGTAACACTCCTGAGACACCTGTAACACAACTGTAACACCTGAAACATCTGTAACACACCTGTACCACACCTGAGACATCTGTAACACACCTGTAACACCTGTAACACCTGAAACACCTGTAACACACCTGTACCACACCTGAGACATCTGTAACACACCTGTAACACCTGAAACACCTGTAACACACCTGTACCACACCTGAGACACCTGTAACACACCTGTAACACACCTGTAACACCTGTAACACACCTGAGACACCTGTAACACACCTGTACCACACCTGAAACACCTGTAACACCGGAAACACCCCTGATATCCATGTCAGACTGACTCCTCTCTATGATTGGCTGTCAGGTTACTACGGAGACGAGATGAACGCTGTCATCCTGTTCACTTCCTGTTACCTGCCAGAGAACACGGTGGAGGACTACGAATACGTGATGGACAACCTGTTCAGGTGAGCAAACAGGAAGTGGCAGTGAGTTAGCAAAGGGTTCCAATATGGACGTTTTTCATATTTCTTTACAGACTTTTGTCACAAATAATTGTGTGTGTGTGTGTGTGTGTGTGTGTGTGTGTGTGTGTGTGTGTGTGTGTGTGTGTGTGTGTGTGTGTGTGTGTGTGTGTGTGTGTGTGTGTGTGTGTGTTCCTGCAGGTACATCGTGGGCACGTTGGACCTGATGGTGTCGGAGAACTACCTGCTGGTGTACCTGTGTGCGATGGCCCCCAGGAACAAGCTGCCCTCCATCAAGTGGCTGAAGCAGTGCTACACCTCCATTGACCGCAGGTACGCTGCATTCACTCACAGGGACAGCTGCAGCCGGGCGGGGACAACCGTCTGACATGGTGTGTGTGTGTGTGTGTGTGTGTGTGTGTGTGTGTGTGTGTGTGTGTGTGTGTGTGTGTGTGTGTGTGTGTGTGTGTGTGTGTGTGTGTGTGTGTGTGTGTGTGTGTGTGTGTGTGTGTGTGTGTGTGTGTGTGTGTGTGTGTGTGTGTGTGTGTGTGCAGGCTGAAGAAGGATCTAAAGGGTCTGCTGGTGGTCCATCCTGCCTGGTACATCCGAGCTCTGCTCACCGTGGTCAAACCCTTCATCAGGTCCTTATTATTGTTGTTATTGTTTATTATTATCAGTATTGTTATTGTTATTAACATTATTATTAACATTGTTATTAACATTGTGATTAACATTGTGACCCCTCTCCCAATTAGTGAGAAATTTGGCAGGAAGATCCGGTTCATCCAGACGCTGCAGGAGCTGTCAGAGCTCGTTCCCACAGACAGACTGCAGATACCTGACGCTGTGAGACAGTGAGAGACACTCACACACACACACACACACACACACACACACACACACACTCACACACACACACACACACTCACACACACACACACACTCACACACACACACTCACACACACACACACTCACACACACACACACACACACACTCACACACACACACACTCACACACACACACACACACACACACACACACACACACACACACACACACACACACACACACACACACTCCGTGCCTCCCACATTAACACGTCCTGTATTGCAGGTTCGATGCGGGGCTGAGGAGATGACGGTCTCTGAGGTCACTTCCTGTACAGAACCAGATCAGAGACTCTTTATTTATACTGTCTGTAACTCAGGGTTGATGTTTGGGGGGGGTGGGGGGGGGGGGGGGGGGGTGTGTAAGTTATTGTGTTTACATGTCTGACCCTGAACGCTGCACTATCAGGACTCTGTGATTTATACAATAAAATATGATCAAACTTCTGAACTCTGTCACATGTTTTTATTGTGATGTTCACACCGTGGGGCTACGAGAGAGAGACAGTCGAACCCGGTGCATTCCTCCGTCTGGATGTGTCTATTCTATTCTCACTCTGTTGTTGTTTATTAGTAATTTTTCATTTCAAACCTTTATTTATCCAGGTGTATCCCATTGAGATCATTGATCTCTTTTTCAAGGGAGACCTGCTCAAGTAGGTTCCACATGAAACATTAAAAACATAAACAGAACAACAAAAGGACATCATACAGCTTCATTACAGGGATTACAGTTTACATACTATCCACATGCACAGGTACCAACAGCTTCCGATTCAGTAGCATCCAACCGAGCTTTAAAAACATTTAGTGGCACCAGATTGCTCAGTTTCCATTTTAATTGCAGACTATTCCAGGACAGTGGAGCTGCGCATCTAAATGCTATTTTCCCTAAGACAGTCCTAGCAGTTGGCACATTTAATAAAACCACAGCATCTCAGGCAGTAGCCACTTACAATTCGCCGTGAGATCAGGGAGCAGATGTAGGATGGAAGTTTCCCTAACATGGCTTTATATATAAAAATGTACCAGTGACTGAGCCTCCGTACAGTTAGTGAAGGCAGACCAGCCCTTGCATACAGGGTACAGTGATGAGTTAATGCTTTACAGTTTGTCACAAATCTCAGTGCACTGTGATACGCAGCATCTAACTTGCTCAGGTGCAGGCAGGTGCATTCATATAAAACAGATCACCATAGTCCAGCACAGGTCAAAAGGTCACAGAGCCTTTTCCTGGCCTCGAGCGAGAAACAGGACTTGTTCCTGTAGAAGAAACCTAGTCTAACCCTCAGTTTGTTAAGCAGGTTATTGACATGACGTTTAAAAGAGAGACAATCATCAAGCCAGATACCAAGGTATTTGTAACAGGTAACCACTTCAAGTTTTATTCCTTGCGTAGTTAAAATATCTAAAACAGGCTCTGGTGTCTTTTTTGCTTTTGAAAAGAGCATTACCTTGGTTTTATCAACATTTAAAAGAAGCTTTAGTAATATTAGTGTTATTGTGACAGTGTCTATTCTCACTCTGATGTTGTTGTTGTTGTTTATTGTTAGTAGAAGTGTTATTATGACAGTGTCTATTCTCGCTCTGATGACTCCCAGTTTAAACCGCGCTTCTTATTTATGGCCCACCAGCTGTAAGCCCCGCCCCCTCCCGTTACACGAGCTGGCCACGCGTCCTCTCTGCGCTCTGATTGGTCAGCACGTGTAGCCGGCCTCCAGCAGCCAATCAGAGCGCTCGCTGTCCACTCTCCTCCCACGTGTTGCTCTGTGCGGGGTAACGGTATAAAGCCAGGGACTGTTTACCGACACACACTCACTTATTAACCCGAATAAAGGCCCCCGTGCCCCGGTACCATGGTCCTGATGAAGCCCCTGGTGCTCCGTGTGGAGCTGCCGGAGAGGCTGTACAGCGGCGGGGAGAAGCTGAGCGGCTCCGTGCTGCTGGAGGCCGAGCAGCCGCTCTCGGTGGCCGGCCTGAGGGTCACTGTGAGCGGCAGAGCCCGGGTGGAGCACCGCGGAGGAGCAGGAGGAGGGAGGAGGAGGAGGGAGGAGGAGGAGTACCTGAGGAGAGAGGAGGTGCTGCGGCTGGAGGAGCAGCTCACCACCGGTACACACTGATGCATGGTGTGTGTGTGTGTGTGTGTGTGTGTGTGTGTGTGTGTGTGAGGCTGCAGGTACACAGTATAAATTACGTGTATATTTTATATGTATTGTTTTTATTGGTCCTACTCCTACCTTTATAAAGTGATTCTATAAATGACTTTATAAGGTTGTTAAATATGAGATATGAACTCTGTATCTCAGTTTAAATGTTAGAGTTATTTCAGATGTTTCATATTTTACATTAGTGCAATAATCTTCATTATGAATAATAATCTGTTATCTAAATGATGTTAATATTGGTACTTGTGGGTTATCTGTCGCCACGTTTTTTTCAGACTCTCTAAATAACCCTAACCCTTTTTTCAGACTCTCTAAATAACCCTAACCCTTTTTTCAGACTCTAAATAACCCTAACCCTTTTTTCAGACTCTCTAAATAACCCTAACCCTAACCCATCGCTGCAAACAGGATTAATGTTAGTTATTCTGAGGAATGAAAGAGCTCCTGTGGAGTAGTGATGTGTCGGTCGCGAACGAGCCGATTCTTTTGAACGGCTCTTTGGTACGAACGAGGGGAACCGAGTCGTACTTGGTGAGAGCCGTTCTTCTTATCGTTCAATCAAAGTTGGTCCGCACTCACTGCCTGCCAAAATTCACTCGCCTTTTAAAAAGCTTGATTTTGTTCCCCAAACGTATTCTGTGAAGACCCGCCCCTACTCTGATTGGTAGGTTTCAGCACGAGGAGTTAGGTGGGGTGGGTCTTAACGGAATACGCGAGAGAGAGAAGTCATAACAAGTGGAACTGGACAGATAGACGACGTGTTTTTCGGATGGAAAATGAGCCAAACGTGAAAGCGCAGCAGCATCTGGATGCACTTCAACCAAAACCCAGGCAGTGATAAAGCGCACCATTTGTAAAGGCAACATATCCTTTAAAGCAGGGTCAACAAATAATCTCCATCGCCACTTAAAAACACACTACTAATATTAAGAGTTGCGTGAATTTCATTCAAGGCAAGGCAACTTTATTTACTTAACACATGCAGAGGGTAAATTCAAAGTACATTCACTGACATGAATGACATGGATATGGCGCCACCTTGTGTCATGTTTACAATTCAGATTATTGACATTAGGTCTGGCAATGCAGTCAATCATTATCCTGGTGATTATTTCGCAGATAAACCTAGTAACCCCGCCCCCTTTTTTAAAAAACGGCTCTTTTGAACGGCTCTTTTGAACGGCTCTTTGAAAGGAACGGAGCCATAAGATCCGGCTCCCTTCAAAGAGCCATAATTCCCATCACTACTGTGGAGGAGCAGCTACCCCACAGATAACCCACAAGGACCTCAATGTTCCTACCTCATGTGTTAATAAAGCTTTAAGATACAGTCTGTGTAGGGACACCTACTTCAAGTTATATTCATATATTAATGTGTCTGTATGATTGTTGTTATTGTTGTTGTCCAGACTCAGACGGCTGCTTCCTGCTTCAGCCTCAGAAGCTCTACAGGTTCTGCTTCGGCTTCGAGCTGCCTGCTGCCGGGTAATCTATATCTATCTATATCTATCTATATCTATATCTATATCTATATATCTATATCTATATATCTATCTATATATTCCTAATCGAGAGAGCGAGAGCGAGAGGAGCGAGAGCGAGAGCGAGAGCGAG